CTGAAATTATTAAATCCTACTGCACAAGGAAGCCACTCTTTTTCATTCATATCCTGGCACATTTAAACTAAAAGGGTAATAAAGACTCTCCACAGGGGCTTCTCAGATGCCCTAACATCACCTGAAGCCAGAGAAAGGGAGTAGAGCCAAGAAACAAACAAGTTCTAGAAAACTGGTTGAACTGCTCAGATTAACCAAACACTGGCAAATGCTGCTGATACTAGATACATGGGCTGAACAAGGCCACAAGCAACCTTATTTGACCCAAGAGATGTCCCTGCTTTGAGTAGGTAAGACTAGACACCCCTTAAGGTCCTGTCCATCCTAAATTATCCCATGATCTCATAATGTAAATTACCTGTTGTGTCAATACCCCAATTTTTCAAACTCTTCTTCCTTGAATCCAAAACTCATAGGCTAACAGCAGCCAAGGTAGCTACACCTGTCCAGCTTCTACCATAGCATTTGCTTTTTCTTTCTTAGCTCCTTACATATTCTTTTCAGCCTCTCTGCTTCCTATTTTAGATATTACTCATTGGAGCAGCATCTTTAGACCTTTGGGTTTTCACCAGTGTCTGGCCACTAGTTTGCTCCAGGCTTCTAGCCTGATGTAGGGCCTATCCTAACATGTGTTCCCTAAAGTACTTCCCATAGATTCCCTGCAGAGATGAGTCTTCCACATAAACCACTGTGAAAGTAGGAGAACAGGAGGCCTCGAACACACAGAAACATCTTGTGAACCTTGCAAATGAAAAAGAAAGACCGGAAAGAAACGTGATAGGTTCTACCTTCAGAGTTTCAAATTTCTAATGTATTATTCATAACCATGTGTAAAACCATTTTTGTAAACATTTTATAGTCCATAATGTCCCCTATAAAAACAAACAAAAGCTGCAGTAGTACGCAACAGAGTAGGTTATGGGAGGTTACACAGCCATCATGTCTGAATAGTGAAAGCTATGACTACCATTTATCAAATTGGCACTGAAGTAATCTTAACATAAACTCAGCGTGGGAGGAGAGGCAGACAATAAAATAATACAACGCTTTGCACTTTGGTGGCATAAGCTGAAGATCTCCATCTCTTTTAAAACACACAATTTAGCTTCCAGCCTGGAGAGCAATAATTAATAGTTCTGTCGCCTCTTGTGCCACTGACTCACCACAAAGAGTTAAGAGGGCGATCTGCACCTTGCTGCAACCATCCAGCTCCGTACACACTGAGCAAAGCAAGCTTGTATCACTGGTCATGACAGTGCCCACTTTCAACTAGCACCCAGAAAGCATAGCCACTCAACTCCCTATGACCTAAACAAAACCTTGGACCAAAGCTCCCTAGCCTTCTCTGGAGGCAGGACTTGTCCATAAATGACTGAGGTCACTCTATGGTCATGAGGAGAGTGCTGAGAACATGTGTCCTAGGCTGGTGTTGTCCCACAAAACTTTATACACCTCTTCCAAAGTCCACGAAAATATCCCTTGAAAACAACTTCAATAAATTTTGATTTGGGCATTTAAAAAGGAAAATCTGTCTAACAAAGCTTGAAGGTAAAACTAACACCCAGAGACTCAAAACACATGGCACCTACTATACTTCATAGTCAGCAGCACAGTTCCATCAGGTTCTGGCTTTGCTATTAACTGAGGCTGACAGACCAATTCACCTGCAGTGATTGATTTAAGTGAGGGACTAATGTGGCCAAGTGGCTTGAAGTTCTGTCATCTTTTGTTGCACATGGACATGCTTTTTTTCAGCAGGCAGAACTGGCTGAACAATGAGACACACATGTATCAGCTATGAGCATGAGCGGCTGTCAGCTAGGGCAGAGTTGATCTGCAGTTTACATTGGGATCCAGAGAACCCTCAAGTGACCTTTATTAGGATGATATGTTAGTCACGTTTCACAGTATTTCCAATTCAATCATCAATTAATCATTCATGTAAGAGAAAGATGTGATAGGGTATTTTATAGTCTTCTGTTAAATGTAAAAACATTTTATCCAAAGACAGTTGAAAATCAACATGCAAGATGTGTGCTAATATCATACTCTGTGTGCATGTGTACATGTGTGTTTATAAAGTATCCTCTTACTGAAAATATGCCAGAGTGCAAAGCTGTAAATAACCATATGAAAAGTTGCGCTAATTCAGAGTGACACTGCAACATGGGAGGTTTCTAAGTAATAAAGAACACGTGGGGAAGCATGCTGATAGTGAAACTTCCAGCCTTGCATTTTGAACGTGGTGCTTTGAGGCCAGGGAGTAGTTCTGGGGAGAAACAGGTAAGATCTGGAGATTAAAAGTAGCAAATTGCTTGACAGGAGAAATAAAAAGGTGCAGCAGAATTACTAATTACAAACTTGTGCAGCAGCCTGGCCTCTCACAACGCACAGCTTTCAGGGGTGGTATCCAAGATCAGGCTCCCGTCACAAATACAGGGAAAGGAGGGTCCTTTCCTTAGAAGATGACATTCAAGATGAGGATGACTGAAGAAATGAGACAGATGTAGGAGCATGTGAAAGACCATGCCTGAGAAGCCTTACCTTGCCTTACAGCAGCTGCCAAAACAGGAAACAGCAAAGAAACATCGAGAAACTCTACAATAAAGGAACAATCTGCCCCCAGTGGAAGGTTTGCTTTTCCTAACCTAACCACTGGCAGTTAAAGGCTGATAAATAATTTGATGTATAAAGGCTAAGATATCTTCTTAATTTTGTGTTTGTTCACTGCTAAGTTAATGTTCTAACTATCCATAATAAACAGTTAATCCTTTTTGAAGGATTAACCTCTTGATAGTAACAACGAAATGAATCAAATCACAATACATTTTGCATGCAAGTAAGTTTACATTGTGTGTCAGTTTCAGTGTCACTTTGCACATTCTATATATAATTAGTTCATCAAGTGTTTACCTCCCACTAGCTACACCTTATTTCTGTCCACATCCCCACACACAGTCTTGTCTTTCAGGGCCTTCTGGATTGGCAGCTGGATTGAGAGTTCACATGTACTTGCAAGGCAGTATTTAGAGCCAAACAGAGACTTCAGGAGATGGGTGCTGTATTCTGTAAAATGCTGTGTGCCCTCTACGCATTTACGTGCCCTCTATGCATTTACTTCTTAGGAATCATAAGGACACAAGTCAAGCTCTTTTGCAGATATACCTCACCAGCCTAAGCACTCAGCACACGCACAGACAAAATTTCAGATCCTACAGCAAAATCTTCACAAGGCCACATCAGCAGATGTGCATGCCCCAGTCCTCACCAGCCAGGGCCAGCTTGGTAACAGGAAGAGCTGATGATGACTGTGGGTGGAATGCCCATCCATTCCCTCCTGGAGGGCCCTAGCTCACAGCCATAGCCACAGCCTGTCAAAGGGAACAGGTAGCCACTGGTCAGCCAGCTCTGGACTACCAGGATTACCGGCTTTCGTCACACAAAGTGCTCCATGGACACTTTGTGAAATGTGGCAGGGGGCATAATTCCCTTTTCCGTGTGGCCTCAAGGGGCAGGATGGCACTGTTGGAGCCACTGATGCTTCTAGACAGTGTCACTGGGGAGGGCTCGACTCCAGGCAGTATATAGCTTCCCAACAAGGGTCACTGTCCCATACAGGGACCAGAGAACCTCTCTCTCCTACAGCAAAGACCCGTGCTCAGCTGCCAAGCCCAGCCCAGCCCAGGACTGCAGCAGTGCTGGGGCTGGTGAGGGGGGTGCTGACGGGCCTGCCTCACAAGTCCGTGGGAGCAGGGTCACATCCCTGGAGAAAGCCAAACACCAGCTCACTTCCCACACACACCACCTGCCGCCAACAGATAGGGGCGCCCTGTGAGAAAGGGAAGAGAAAACGGTTTGGAAAACGTCTTCCTTGCTTGCTCCCCTGAATGCTAATCAGCGGCGCCGGCTAAAAATACCAAGCAAGGCTGGCGTGCGCACGGCAGAAGGGAAAAATGGGGGAGCTTGAGGCTCCAGCTTCCCGGAAGGAAAAGGAGAGGAAGAGCCTCCCCTGGTCCCCCTCCCTGCCTGGATCCCGGTTGCCGGCACAGGCACGGACCCTACTGTTCCTTTCCTAGGCTGAGGTTCCCATCGCTGCTTCGGGAAGCCATCCCGAGTACTCGCCGCTGAGCCACTGGCCACCCCGTGCCGTGCCAGGTTGCAGCCACCCCTGTATCACCGGCTCCCCGCTGCCCGGGCTGCAGGCGCTCCCGGATGGGAGGTTCCGGGGGCGCAGTTGCCGCCGACCCCCGCTGCCCGCAGAGAGGAGTGAGTGGCCCTGGCGGAAGCTCCCCAATGGGGCTCGCCGACAGAGCACACAGCAGAGAGGGGTGAGGGGTCCGCCGCAGACGCGGAAGGCTTGCTCCGCTGCATCCGAGCCGCCGGCACATCGCAGCACACTGACAGGGATGCACGATGGCTCTAGCAAGAGCAAGAGCTAAATAAATAAATAGACAAGTAAATTGATTGACCGGAGAGAGATGGAGGGAGGGAGGGCTGGAGGCAGCATTCCGCATCGAAACAAGTGGGACGTTGCAGACCCTGCCACCCCCCGTCCGAACTGCCTCTGCTTCCCGGAGGGGAGCCGTCCGGGGGCGGCCTGCGGTACCCCCGTGCCACGAGGGGAGGGGCTGGGATTTCGGCCTTGCCCCCCCCCCCCCCCGGACGAGATGGGCTGAGCTGGGGGTCGCCGTGTTGGGCCGACGGGCCGCCCCCTTTCCCCGGCGTCCCCCCGCCCGCCGCGGCTCCATCCATAATTAATCGCCTCCCCGCAGCCGCCGCGATAAGAGAGGGCGGGCGGGGACGAGGAGGCGGCGGCGGCCGGGAGGCGGTGGGGGGAGCGTGTGCGCTCGCCGCGCCCGGCTCACTGCGGCCGGCGGCTGCCTGCCGTGCGGAGCGAAGCGGAGCCCAGCCGCCCCGTCGGGGAGCGCCGCGGTCGCATGGCCGCGCCGCGCCGCGCCGCCGCCGCCGCTGCGGGGCCAGGGGGGGCCGCGGGAGGAGGATGAGGCGGGCGGCGGGGAGGCGGCGGCGGCGGCGGCGCGGAGGATGAAGTGGAGCGTGCGGGGAGCCTGCGCCGCGCTCTCCAGCTGCCTCCTGCTCGCCTGCGCCCTCAGCGCCGCCGCCGTGGGCCTCAAGTGCTTCTCGCTGGGCTCCGAGCTGAAGGGCGAGCCCTTCCGCCTGGGCACCGCCGCTGGAGCCTTCTACTCCGGGCTGCTGCTGGCCGCCGGACTCTCGCTGCTCGCCGCTGCGCTGCTCTGCTGTCGTCCGCCCGACGAGGCACCCGCGGCACCGGCTCCAACCCCAGCCGCTGCACCGGCCCTGACCCCGGCTCTGGCCTCGGACCCGGCCGGGGACCCGGACCCGGCGGGAGGCGGCACCGGCGGGGGGGAGGTGGCGGCCGCACCGTCGGGGCCAGTGGAGAAGGCGCCGCCCGGGGGGCGGCAGAACTTCCTGCTGCTGGGGGTGCTGGTGTTCATGCTGGGCGTGCTGAGCGCCTTCGCCGGCGCCGTCATCGACGGCGACACCGTGTCGCTGGTGGAGAGGAAGTACTCGCACTACTGTCTGCTTCAGACCGGCGGCGCGGCCCGCCCGCGGAGCGGCCCAGCGGTCCCCGACGGCTCTGCCGTGGCGCTCCGCTGCCAGAAGCTCCGGGACTACCAGCAAGGCTTGGTGCTCTCCACCGTCTTCAACGCGCTGGAGTGCCTCCTGGGCCTGCTTAACCTGCTCCTCGTCAAAAACTATAAGGCCTCGCAGCAGCGCGGACGCCGGCGGCGCCGGCGTCGAGCGGCCCCAGCGGCTGCAGCGGCGGCGAGCGGGAGGCGGCGGCGGCGGCGGGGCGGCCCCTGCGGCGGCGGCGGTGGCAGTGGCGGGCGGCGGGCGCCGCGCCACAGCCAGGGCTCCCTCTTCTCCGGCGGCGAGCCCGAGCTCAGCCCCGGGGATTGCCCCTTCCAGGCCGTCTCGTACATCAACGTGGGCGTCTTCCACGTCTTCGACGAGGCTGGCGTGGAGGTGCACTGCGGCGGGCATCCCTCCGTCGAGCTTCCTGGCTACTCGCCCATGGACCCCGAGCTCAACGCCTCCTACCCCTACTGCTACCCGCTGCCCAGCGAGCAGCCGCCGGCCTACGAGGAGATCTACCCCAGGGAGCCCTGCGCTCACGGCACCTAGCGCCCACCGCCGGCGGGACCCCTTACTGCCAGCCCGGGCCTCGGCTCTCCGTGGCAGCCGGAGCGGAACCCGGCGGCGGAACGGACCGGGAGCGGGTCCGCCAGCTCCTCTCAGACGCGGGGCCCGGGGACGGCCATCGCACCACCGACGGGACGGGTCGTGGGCAGGTGCCGCCGTGCCTCTGGCTCTGCGGAAGCTTCTCCCCTCTCCCTCCCTGCTCTCCTCTTCCTTCTCCCCACTCCGTCCCACCGGCCCCTCCGTCCGCCGGCGGCTGAATTTTCCGAAGGCTGCGCAAGAAACGCCGAAGGGTTGGTTCCTCCCGCTGCCTCTCCTCCGTAGCCAAGTTTAGTTCCCTTCAAAGTGATTCATCAGTCTCCAGCTTTAGCAGTCCAGAGTTACCCATTTATGATAACCAGCCAGTGTAAGGAAAAGGCGTCATGAAGCTTCTTTACCTCTCAAAAGAGCTAAATTTCTAAACAACGCAGAGACATTTGTGTCACGTTTACTAGAGATGTATTGGGGATCTTTAACGTTTACACTACTCCTTGGGAGAATTGAGTTCTGTTTTAAGATTTAGTGAGTTAAAACATTCATTGGTCTTGTAAGATGCACATTGAGAAAAACCTGCACTTTGAAAAAGAAACAGGAAAAAAAAAATCAACGTTTTTGTACACTAATGTGCCTGCTTTTGTTGATAACTTCTTACTGTAAAAGCTTTCAGAAGTCTATAGTGAAAATGTTTGGTAAATTCACTGCAGTTTAAAATCGATGATTAGTTCCTTTACTAAACAACTGAGATGTTGCTAGGATATGGCAGTTAAAAGGAAGTCCAAATGTCATACACATTCCTTTTTGTAAACAGGTTCTGTGTTTTTAATGCAAGGCAGGATTTATTTTTGTTTTACACAGGTGAAGGGTTTAATTCTATTTTGTACAACTACATGGTTTACCTTGTAATGAGTTCCATTTTACCTGTTACAATTCATCAATCTGGTAAGCTTGAATATTAAAAGTTTTATTTGAAATATATATATTGTAAAACAGCCTTAACTGGTGCAATGGTCAGTTTTAAAGGAAAAAAAAAAAACAACAACCCAACAACAACAAAAACAACAACAACAAAAAGATAAACCATCTTGGAAGACATCTTCCAAATGAGTTTCAAAACAATATTTAATACTCCTATAACAAAGCAAGTATTTTCTTCCTCTTTTTTTTTTTTTTTTTTTTTTTTTAAGGTCACTTTAATTCCTGAAAGGGAGGGTGGGATGGTGAAATAATGGGATGGTATGCTGTTAACTCTTTCTTAGTTTAGAGGTATTGAAAAAGCTATATGCAAAGGGAAAAACTGCCAAATCCTTTTGGATTCTGCTGTGGAATGCCAGTAACTGCTAGTGCAAGAAAGTGCTACTTAAAGGGAAGAGATATGGCATATTTCATCACATCATTCAAGAATAAGTAAAGGCTTAATTTCATGTTCCACAAAGAACCAAAAGCAAATTTTCAGGTTGCTTTTGGTTCAGTATCCCCTCCCCCAATTACAGCATACTGAAATGAAGTATTACAAAATAACCTTTCCCTTTCTGTTAATCCTGTGTTTGGAGCCTGCTGCGTAATGCCAGTGTATCAGTTATCCAGAGGCAGAGAGAGTGAAGGGAGTGAAAAGTTACAGTGTGTTTCTGTGGTCGACGGAAAATCATATTTAAATTTTTAGCTTCAGAGAGACTGACGTAATTTACAGCCTTAGAATTGGATAGAGGAGAGTTTAGCCCAAAAATATTAAAATCTCTGCACTGTTTTGTTTTCTAAAGTGTTTTGACTTGCACACTCTGTATAATCTAAAATGCAGAATGCCTGAGAAGTCTTAAAATTGCAAAGTGAAGTCTGTGAAGCTCACAGTCAAAGCTCTAATCTAGAGGAGACAGTTAAAAGCAGCATTGCCAATTTGCCAAGTAGTTCTAAATAGCAGAAATTTAAGACACAGCTCTTTCTGGCCAACAGATTTCTTGTGCAGAACGTCAGCCTAAAACATATGCCCTAGCTAAGTCCCATTTTAGTACTGAAGATAGATAGGTTTTATGCTGGCTCTCTGCAGATGCATTTCCTTAACCCTTTACAGGGAAGTGACTGGGAAGTCCTGAAGACTTTACCTTTAATACTAACTTAGGCACAAAACTAATCCTGTAACATACTGTATTGTTCGTACAGGGGAATTTGCAAAATGAATAACTAAAGCAAGGAGGCAAAAGTTCTCATGTAAGTCTCCAATTAGAGGAGTTAATGAGACAGCATAGTACCCTGTACTGAGTTTAACGGAAACTGCTAGGCTGCAGGGTGATTTTGGAGAACAGGCCAGCTGGGTGCCTAAATACAGACACAGAAGTGTAATAATAGTTGTTGGCTTTAAGAAGATTGGCTATATACATTGTAGTTCATGGAAGCTGTATCTTAATTTTACTTAAGGAATTGATTTTTGACATAAAAAGACAGTGTTTTACTTAAGATAACTATTTTAGGAATCATGAACTAGACAGTTCTGAAACTCCAGATGTTCCAAAGATCAGTGCTCAGGGAAATAAATGGAAAGTCAAGAAAGCTACCTATTATACTCAATTGTTTAAATGTAAACAATTTTAAACTATAAATTTTTAAGATTGTTAAATTCATAACTTTTTTTTTTTATATATATTTGGTTGTGTATGCACGTGTGTAAGTGTGTGTTTTATTTAAGTCTGCTCAGAATGCTATTGAATTAGGACATTTATTTGTGGTTCACTTTTAGTTCCTGAATTTCTGCTTTTTCTTCATTTGGGCTTTTATGTCCCATAGTAGTTTAATTTAGTGGTGGACAGATTGCCAGAATAATGTTCAAGTTGGACTCCCACAGAAGCCAGTAGGCATCATTTCATTGACTTCAGTGGGTCTGGGTACCTACTCTAAATAATCTTTAAAGTAATGTGGATCTTCTGGCATGACAGGATGCAGCAGTGGCATATTAGTTCTCAGTTATTTATTTGTATGGACAGCAGTATTAAGGGAGGTCACCTATGGTATTATACATATTTAAAAAAAAAAAAACTGGAAAAAATAAATTGACAGCAAATTGACTGAACAAGCCATGTTTTCTTAAAGATGGTATACAAGTGTTTCAGGTATCTGGTGACTAACTTTTCTGATAAAACACCACACGTATTTATTTCTCAGTGAGAAGAAACTTATAAATACATGATTCAAGATGAAGCTTCACAGGCATAATTGCAGTATTGTGAAGCCATTTTTAGTAAACCTGAATCATCACTCTATCTTCTGAGCAGTAATGTTAGAGTGTATAAACCATACTGTGACAAAATTGAAAATAGGCTGGTGTGGGAAGCATCGGAGCTTAGGTTACTTGCCTGAGAGGATTCATACTGTCCCTTTATTTTCCATGCCCCATCACATGATTGTCAAGGCAAATGCAAGCCTGATCGATTCATGTCACTGGACGATGTTAACTGCAAGGCTTATGCCTTAAGTAGCAAAACCAGGGAGCATGGAAGAGAAACATCATGTATGTGCTATCAAATCTCCATTTTGCTTAGCTGAAATAACAAGACTGCTTTTTGCCCCGTAGCTTGTTGTTTCAATTTGCTTAAAGCATTACTTGCATCTGTTCAAAGAGAGGAAAGAACAGATGCAATACTGCTGTTTTGGTCACAGCAGAGTACTGATTTGCTAGCAGACTGTTCCCAGCTTTCCCATCCCTTTTGCAGGTAATAGCAGTTAGTCAAGGGATGAAATGGTGGAAAATCAAGTCTGCAGTCTTTGATGCAACATGCTCCCTTCATGTGGAAAAACATATTCCCACCAGCCTATTAGCAATTCACATGAATTATTTTCACACTCAAACATTCTTGCTTAAATCTGTTACTTAGACTTTGCATTGTAATTGACAGACAGAATATATATATGAATCTAAAAACAGGGGAAAAAAGGATGTTAGAAGGAAATTGGATTAAAGTAGTACAGATTTTACTCAGAAGTTTGATTTCACTGTAGGACTTCTTTGGTTCACCAAAAAGCGCTATGGTGGCTGGTATAACTTAGATATATTTCAGACATACTGTTTAATCATCAGAAAAGGTTTCTGAATGTTCACATGAGTATGGCAATCTGTTTCTGCTTTTGGACATAGTACATATGAAAACCTTTTCTTCATTTTGGCATTTAATCTGAGATTGATCCTCAAGAAAATGTCAGTAATTGATCTTGTAATTTTAGGATCAATAAAATACATTTTAAAGCACAGCATATCCTATAAGAAAAGCCTAATGCTCTTCATTTCATATTCTTCATTGTCTTAGATGGATGTTTAATAGTACAACTAAAACTAGGGATTTAATTAGCACTTTTATTATAAAAATGTGTTTTTCAGGAATTTGCAACTTGTACAAGTGGAACCTTGACATAAAATTCCAGGTTTTACTATGAAGTCGAGTCAGTTTCTGTAAGTAAAATGTTTCTGAGTTACAGGATTTCCCAATATTTTAGCTAAATACAATTAGTAAAAATCTAGCTCTGTTAATTTCGTATTATGGCACTCTTTAAATGTGATAAAAGTTACGCCTCCTTAACTCAGGCTGATATTTCTAATTAAATGCATAAGGGTGAGTAACTCTTGTGCATTAACCTTATGGTTACTGTCCAGTTTTTAGATTTCTTCATTACCTCTCAGTACTTAATGGCATATGACCAGTGCTTAGTATATGTTCCAGAATCAGTAACACCTGATCTAATAACTGTTCAGCAGGTAAAATGAAGCCCGTAGGCTGATGTCATGCTGGGGAAAAAATCCTCAAGCGCATGTTGCAGCAATTCGGTATACAGTTTCCTACCCAAAAGGAGGCACTGCCCAAACAAAGTAACCAGAAGAAATCTGCGAGTTTAAGTTGGGTGCAGGGAGTTTGTATGTTCTTTCTATTGCAGCAGTTCTTTCTATTATCTCTGGAACTCCTCCCCTGCATAACTTCCTAACAGCGAAATCCATAAATTGGTGTTCTAAAAAATTGATTAAAATCACTGCTTTACTTTCTGCAGGCCAGCTGTGCTATGTACTTTCCACCCAATATTCAGGCACCTGGTGAAGTTCTGCTGAAGTTTATAGGTATGTCACCATGATGTCATCCTAGATCATCTCAGACTGAAGATCAAGTCATTTAAGAAGCCCATAAGACTGTCCTAAGAAAAGTGTATTTTCCTTTACAGAGGAAAAAAAAACAAACCAACAACTGATGTCATCTTTCATTCCTTCTTCAGATCCAGCTGCCTTAAACTTCACTGAGTTCACCCTGAGGCAGGAGTGGAGGTGACACTGCAGACTGCTACTCTTTCACTTACTGAGTTTTAGATACCTGGAAGACCTCCATAAGTTTTATGGAAGCAAACACTTCCAGTGAAAACAAAACAAAACAAAACAAACAGCCCACATACAAAATGGCTCTGACTCAGAACCAGGTAAGAAAATTCAATGTCCTGAGTGAAACTATCCAGTCACGATACAATCTAGCAGAAGTCCGTAGTGTTTCACTTCTGGATTTCTACTGGCATTGTTCTGTCTACTGGGGATATCAGGAAGTTCATTTCATGGTCTTTGCAAAAGAATAATCTGTTTCACTACAGCACATAAGGATTAAACACCTACTAAAGACTACAAGCATCCTCAGTAGTTGGTCTCTGTGGCCATTGTTAGCAGAGGATAAAAGTGAAGTGTAGGAGGAGAAAAAGCTTACTGTCATACTCTTGGTGGGTTCAGAAGACTACACATTCCAAAACATTCATTGGTTTTATATTAAGACACTGGATCTGGTCATGGGAGGATACCTGTAAGAACTAAAAGGATTATTTTCCAGGCATATATTTTTGGAAATCTAATACTTGGGTTTAGAGAAGGTTCCTTCAGAATTTTCTTTTCCTCCCAGATTCTACATTTTAAATGAATGCTCATGTCACAAAAATACACAATGAAATGTCCAGACACTTAAGTTGTTACATTTAAGGAAATTGAGTAGACCTTTCCTACAAATTACTGAGTACCACCAGTTCCTATACACCAATTCCTATTCCCTTGTTCATGTAAGGGATTTAGCACGTGGTGTGGTTGGGGCCTTATATACCATTATCCAAATTTTGCCATTTCCTCATAAATGGAAGAGGCAACAGAATAAAGTTTTACTATAGAAAAGAAACTTCTAGATTATAATATCCAGTCCCAGGCAACCAGACAGTCATGGATATTGGATGAGCTACATACAGTCTTAAGGTGTATGTAACTGCCATGTATTCAAGATAAAAATGAATGTTCTCATTCAAGGGATTGTTAGCTGTGGAACCGAGTAGAGGCTCAACTTTCTAGCTCTAGGCCAAACAGCTCCTAGAAACATGGAAAAGACCTACCTACCAAAAGGTCAGGCTTGCACTAGAAAGGAGAGGGCCACCAAGAAGTTTCTACTTTGTTGCATTTTAGAATACCTGCCTTTTCCTGAATGACCCAGAAGCTACCAGCTCATACAGATCATCTAAATTGTATGCGAGTGTTGCAAACTACTCAGTCTGTCCAAATCTTTCCTTTTTTCTCCTTTTTTTTTTTTTTTTGTGTTGATATATAAAATCAAGAGCCGTGTTAATTCCAGAAGCAGTACCCGCTGACCTGAGCAGTCAAAATTACTAGTAACTGAAAAATTACTACCACCAAAGAAGACTGCAGCATTGAGAAAATTATATACTGGGGAAAGGATAATAATCAGAAGGAAAGAAATATAGATACACCACTTTGTGAAACTGTTGCTAAGAAATATGGTTTGTTATGCTGAATGGAACAGAAGGGTGCTCCTCTCAACAAATTGGGAGCAGATAGCTGCACAGAAATGCATTTGGCAGGCAGAGAATGTTCCTCTTCAGTTAAGTCCTTGGAGAGGTACCAAAAAATATTGTAAGGCACCACCGTCATCATCCAAGCTTACCTGGACCATTGTTTAATGCATTAAGCTTCATGTTCCCATATGCAGTGGACCATATGCTGTTTTACCTTGCCAGTGGGAACAATGACCTATCTCTTGTGTCACCACTAAGCCAGCATATGCTGGACACATGGATGCACTGTGGCACTGTTCTGTGTGTGTGTTGAGAGAAGGTAAGGCAAGGTATGCTGCAGCCCAGGTGAAACACTGTCCTGTGTTACAGGATGGGGAAGGCAGGCTGCTGTCATGATGCCAGGGCTCCAGACTTGTTACGCAGTGGTCTTGGATGTGGAGAGGCCTAGGCTGCATGTGGGGAGTTGCTGCTGGGTCACTTCTGCAAAAGCAAAATGCCCAAGTGGAATGGGGAGAGAAGGACTGTCTTTATTGCCCCATAAGCAAAAGGAAAGTGATCAAATTGCAGGTCTTCCCAACAGATGTGTTAAGTACTGTCTTGTGTTCAATTTTCATCCTTTGCGCCCCCTCACAGTTCTCCAGAGGAGCAATGTGCACACAGGCTTAGGATGGCAAAGTGCATACTCCCTACTGCCTCTGTGCTTAGGGGAAGAGTCTGACAATGGTGTGCTGAATTATTAAATCATATGGTGAAGCAGTAAATAGGAATGAGCAGCAAGGCATGAAAAAACTTTGCCTGTGTCCCATGTTTGGCGTATTACAAGGGCTCTATAATGCTCTGGGCTGTCCTTTGCTGAAGACTGTGGCAGTTCTTATCTGCCTAAGGTCTGCAAGATCCAGAGCTCCAAGAATGAGGATTCCTGTTCAAAGTTTTCCTGAACAGATCTATCCCAAGTCAAAAAGCAACCCTGGCCCTGTTTTAGTAAATGCATCTCAACATTCAAGCATGAAAAGAAAAAAGTATAAACAGGGCAGAACTGTTCGTTCATTCATAGATCATTAATTTTTCATCAAGGACAGCAAAAAGACAAACATTAGTGTTAACATCTCCAATCCAGAGAATTGCTTCATTTTAAGAGGATCTGAAGCTGAATGATAAGGAAGCAGCAGAAGGTAGTTACACTAAAGGAAAATGGATATTTCACAAGTCTGCTGTCACACTGTTCATGGTGTGCAGCAGAGACTAACAATAGCAGAAATTTCAGCTTGCTTTACATATGCGGCTGGAAATCTCCCGATGACTATTTAAAAACTATTTTATACATGACTAGACTAGACTTGCAGCCCAGTACTTACTGTGTTCATATGAATCATACTGAGATTTTTTAGTCTGGTGTGTATACACTAAAATGTGCGGTTGTGGATGATGACCATCTTCATTAGCTAGGTCACTGCCACTGGTGAGGCAAACTCACCCATTCTCTTTGGCACTGCTGCAGAGCACGAGAGCACTGCGACTCAGAGACGAAATCTCAGCAGAAGCGCATGCACTTCCAGCACCATGGAGCCTCAGCTGACTCTTCCCCAGTCACACTCCGTGTGGGACCCCAGTAAAACCTGCAGGTCCATGGACAAGAAGGTACCACAACACTTGCACAGGTCTCAAGAAGGACCTGTGCAGAGAGAAAGAAGAGGCAAGAGGAGGGCAGCTGAGATCTTCAGCTTCTTGCCTTACCTTCAGGCCAGTGAGACACTTGGTAGCAGAGGCCCTCCACCCGCCACAGGGCACAGCACACCAGGAGGCCAGGTGCCACAAGAAATGCCTTTCTTCTCCAAAGGAGTTAACAGACCACACAGAAGAGAAACTAAAGCACTCATATCCCTAACTTACAGAGCTGCACAGTTTGAAACAGAGGGTCATGGTGCTGTGCTGTCATCCTTGTGATCCGCACCCCCTACAGCTGATCATCTGATGCTCAGCCATACATGGGGTAGTAGGGGTACTGGAATGGAATTCACACATTTAACCACTTAAATTAAGCACAGATGGACTAGCCAAGAAGCAGAGATGGAGTTAAAACACACAGAAGCAACTTTATTCTCACCCTGCCCTGAACACATACCTGGAGAACTTCAATAGGTAGGGAAGTTGGGGTGAGGAAGTTTTAATTGCATCAAGTGGAAAGAAAACCACACTTTACAGTGGAAATGTCCACGTATTCCCCCCCAGAAATGGACATCTTGTTACAACAACACGGAAACCCACAAGAACTTTCCAAGAAAGGTAGCTCAAGTGTAGAAATCCAACTAAAAACCACAGAGTTAAGCTGAGCTCTTAAAATTTCACACCTCTTCCTTCTTTTGGAACAGTCATGTCAATGTGTTCTTTACTTTTTCAGCTCCAGCTCTCAGGCAAGATAGAAGCTGGTAAGAGGCAGA